AGTGGCGTAGTTTTGGTTAGTGTGCCCCGGAGAGGGAAAGGGGGGGGGGACAATATACTACTGGCCCTTAGGTTTTTGACACCTCGTCATCGATAAAATTACAACCCTCATGTATATATAAAGTGCCAACCTAGGCAGACCAACCCCTCGATACAACTTTTCTTGTGCCAATAGACATAATAAAGAATATATTATTTGAGCCATTATGTTAGACTTTTTTTAAATAGACATATATAAATTGCATCTTTATAACAATACTATCATATTTCAGGTAAAACAACTTTAAAAAAGGCATCTATGAATGATTTAAAAAATAAAATTTACCAAAGGACAAGTTCGAAATTTAATACACGCTAAAAATGGATTTATCCGAAAGAATTGTCAAATGGTCTCAAAGTCTCTCAAAGATGGACCGTCCTTATAAGGGCTCCCACTTTGCTGACCATGGCCTCGAGGGCTCAGTGATTGACGTCCCTTTGATGAGACAGCCGTCGGTCATCGTGAGGATCAGGGAGGCGAGGAGGCAATCCAAGGGACCGATCAACTTCTTCTCGAAGAGCGTGGCCATCATCATGTCGACCGTTTGTTTCACTGTGTTGATGACGCTGATCTGGGCGGTACCTATAACCAAGGTGAGTTCGATGCCCTGATGACGCTGATCTGGTCAGTACCTGTAACCATGGTGAGTTCGATGTCCTGATGACGCTGACCTGGTCGGTACCTGTAACCATGGTGAGTTCGATGTCCTGATGACGCTGATCTGGTCGGTACCTATAACCAAGGTGAGTTCGATGTCCTGATGACGCTGACCTGGTCGGTACCTGTAACCATGGTGAGTTCGATGTCCTGATGACGCTGACCTGGTCGGTACCTGTAACCATGGTGAGTTCGATGTCCTGATGACGCTGATCTGGTCGGTACCTATAACCAAGGTGAGTTCGATGTCCTGATGACGCTGACCTGGTCGGTACCTGTAACCATGGTGAGTTCGATGTCCTGATGACGCTGACCTGGTCGGTACCTGTAACCATGGTGAGTTCGATGTCCTGATGACGCTGATCTGGTCGGTACCTATAACCAAGGTGAGTTCGATGTCCTGATGACGCTGACCTGGTCGGTACCTGTAACCAAGGTGAGTTCGATGTCCTGATGACGCTGACCTGGTCGGTACCTGTAACCATGGTGAGTTCGATGTCCTGATGACGCTGATCTGGTCGGTACCTATAACCAAGGTGAGTTCAATGTCCTGATGAAGCTGATCTGGTCAGTACCTATAACCAAGGTGAGTTCGATGTCCTGATGACGCTGATCTGGTCAGCACCTATAACCAAGGTGAGTTCGATGTCCTGATGACGCTGATCTGGTCGGTACCTATAACCAAGGTGAGTTCAATGTCCTGATGACGCTGATCTGGTCAGTACCTATTACCAAGGTGAGTTCGATGTCCTGATGACGCTGATCTGGTCAGTACCTATAACCAAGGTGAGTTCCATGTCCTGATGATGCTGATCTGGTCGGTACCTATAACCAAGGTGAGTTCGATGTCCTGATGACGCTGATCTGGTCGGTACCTATAACCAAGGTGAGTTGGATGTCCTGATGACGCTGATCTGGTCGGTACCTATAACCATGGTGAGTTCGATGTCCTGATGACGCTGATATTTTCGGTACCTGTAACCAAGGTGAGTTCGATGTCCTGATGATGCTGATCTGGGCGGTACCTGTAACCAAGGTGAGTTCGATGTCCTGATGACGCTGATCTGGTCAGTACCTATAACAACGGGGAGTTCGATGTCCTGATGATGATGATCTGGTCGGTACCTGTAACCAAGGTGAGTTCGATGTCCTGATGACGCTGATCTGGTCAGTACCTGTAACAACGGGGAGTTCGATGTCCTGATGATGATGATCTAGTCGGTACCTATAACCAAGGTGAGTTCGATGTCCTGATGACGCTGATATGGTCAGTACCTATAACCAAGGTGAGCACGATGTCCTGATGTCACTGATCTGGTCAGTACCTATAACCAAGGTGAGTTCGATGTCCTGATGATGATGATCTGGTCGGTACCTGTAACCAAGGTGAGTTCAATGTCCTGATGATGCTGATCTGGTCAGTACCTATAACCAAGGTGAGTTCGATGTCCTGATGATGCTGATCTGGTCGGTACCTATAACCAAGGTGAGTTCGATGTCCTGATGATGCTGATCTGGTCAGTACCTATAACCAAGGTGAGTTCGATGTCCTGATGATGCTGATCTGGTCGGTACCTATAACCAAGGTGAGTTCGATGTCCTGATGATGATGATCTGGTCAGTACCTATAACCAAGGTGAGTTCGATGTCCTGATGACGCTGATCTGGTCGGTACCTATAACAAAGGTGAGTTAGATGTCCTGATGACGCTGATATTGTCGGTACCTGTAACCAAGGTGAGTTCGATGTCCTGATGACGCTGATCTGGTCGGTACCTATAACCAAGGTGAGTTCGATGTCCTGATGACGCTCATCTGGTCGGTACCTATAACCAAGGTGAGTTCAATGTCCTGATGACGCTGAAATGGTCAGTACCTATAACCAAGGTGAGCTCGATGTCCTGATGTCACTGATCTAGTCAGTACCTATAACCAAGGTGAGTTCGATGTCCTGATGACGCTGATCTGGTCGGTACCTATAACCAAGGTGAGTTCGATGTCCTGATGACGCTCATCTGGTCGGTACCTATAACCAAGGTGAGTTCAATGTCCTGATGACGCTGAAATGGTCAGTACCTATAACCAAGGTGAGCTCGATGTCCTGATGTCACTGATCTGGTCAGTACCTATAACCAAGGTGAGTTCGATGTCCTGATGACGCTGATCTGGTCGGTACCTGTAACCAAGGTGAGTTCGATGTCCTGATGATGCTGATCTGGTCAGTACCTATAACCAAGGTGAGTTCGATGTCCTGATGACGCTCATCTGGTCAGTACCTATAACCAAGGTGAGTTCGATGTCCTGATGACGCTGATATGGTCAGTACCTATAACCAAGGTGAGTTCGATGTCCTGATGTCACTGATCTGGTAAGTACCTATAACCAAGGTGAGTTCGATGTCCTGATGACGCTGATATGGTCAGTACCTATAACCAAGGTGAGTTCGATGTCCTGATGACGTTGATATGGTCAGTACCTATAACCAAGGTGAGTTCGATGTCCTGATGATGATGATCTGGTTGGCACATATAACCAAGGTGAGTTCGATGTCCTGATGACGCTGAACTGTTTGGCACCTATAACCAAGGTGAGTTCGATGTCCTGATTACGCTGATCTGGTTGGCACCTATAACCAAGGTGAGTTCGATGCCCTGACGTCACTGATCTGGTTGGCACCTATAACCAAGGTGAGTTCGATGTCCTGATGACGCTGATCTGGTCAGTACCTATAACAACGGGGAGTTCGATGTCCTGATGATGATGATCTCGTCGGTACCTGTAACCAAGGTGAGTTCGATGTCCTGATGACGCTGATTTTGTCGGTACCTGTAACCAAGGTGAGTTCAATGTCCTGATGATGCTGATCTGGTCGGTACCTGTAACCAAGGTGAGTTCGATGTCCTGATGATGCTGATCTGGTCAGTACCTATAACCAAGTTGAGTTCGATGTCCTGATGACGCTGATCTTGTCGTTATCTGCAAACAAGGTGAGTTCGATGTCCTGATGACGCTGATCTGGTCGGTATCTATAACCAAGGTGAGTTCGATGTCCTGATGATGCTGATCTGGTCAGTACCTATAACCAAGTTGAGTTCGATGTCCTGATGACGCTGATCTTGTCGTTATCTGCAAACAAGGTGAGTTCGATGTCCTGATGACGCTGATCTGGTCGGTATCTATAACCAAGGTGAGTTCGATGTCCTGATGATGCTGATCTGGTTGGTATCTGTAACCAAGGTGAGTTCGATGTCCTGATGATGCTGATCTGGTCAGTACCTATAACCAAGGTGAGTTCGATGTCCTGATGACGCTGATCTGGTCGGTACCTATAACCAAGGTGAGTTCGATGTCCTGATGACGCTGATCTGGTCGGTTAATGTAACCAAGGTGAGTTCGATGTCCTGATGACGCTGATCTGGTCAGTACCTATAACCAAGGTGAGTTCGATGTCCTGATGACGCTCATCTGGTCGGTACCTATAACCAAGGTGAGTTCGATGTCCTGATGACGCTGATATGTTCAGTACCTATAACCAAGGTGAGCTCGATGTCCTGACATCACTGATCTGGTCAGTACCTATAACCAAGGTGAGTTCGATGTCCTGATGATGATGATCTGGTCGGTACCTGTAACCAAGGTGAGTTCGATGTCCTGATGACGCTGATCTGGTCGGTACCTGTAACCAAGGTGAGTTCGATGTCCCGATGATGCTGATCTGGTCGGTACCTGTAACCAAGGTGAGTTAAATGTCCTGATGATGCTGATCTGGTCAGTACCTATAACCAAGGTGAGTTCGATGTCCTGATGACGCTGATCTGGTCGGTACCTGCAACCAAGGTGAATTCGATGTCCTGATGACGCTGATCTGGTCGGTACCTATAACCAAGGTGAGTTAGATGTCCTGATGATGCTGATCTGGTTGGTATCTGTAACCAAGGTGAGTTCGATGTTCTGATGATGCTGATCTGGTCGGTACCTATTACCAAGGTGAGTTCGATGTCCTGATGACGCTGATCTGGTCGGTACCTGTAACCAAGGTGAGTTCGATGTCCTGATGACGCTGATATTTTCGGTACCTGTAACCAAGGTGAGTTCGATGTCCTGGTGACGCTGATCTGGTCGGTACCTATAACCAAGGTGAGTTCGATGTCCTGATGACGCTCATCTGGTTGGTACCTATAACCAAGGTGAGTTCAATGTCCTGATGACGCTGATAGGGTCAGTACCTATAACCAAGGTGAGCTCGATGTCCTGATGTCACTGATCTAGTCAGTACCTATAACCAAGGTGAGTTCGATGTCCTGATGACGCTGATCTGGTCGGTACCTATAACCAAGGTGAGTTCGATGTCCTGATGACGCTCATCTGTTCTGTACTTATAACCAAGGTGAGTTCGATGTCCTGATGACGCTGATATGGTCAGTACCTATAACCAAGGTGAGTTCGATGTCCCGATGACGCTCATCTGTTCTGTACTTATAACCAAGGTGAGTTCGATGTCATGATGACGCTGATATGGTCAGTACCTATAACCAAGGTGAGTTCGATGTCCTGATGTCAGTGATCTGGTCACTACCTGTAACCAAGGTGAGTTCGATGTCCTGATGACGCATTATTATCAGTACCTATAACCAAGGTGAGTTCGATGTCCTGATGACGCTGATATGGTCAGTACCTATAACCAAGGTGAGTTCGATGTCCTGATGATGATGATCTCGTTGGCACATATAAACAAGCTGAGTTCGATGTCCTGATGACGCTGAACTGTTTGGCACCTATAACCAAGGTGAGTTCGATGTCCTGATGACGCTGATCTGGTTGGCACCTATAACCAAGGTGAGTTTGATTTTCTGACGTCACTGATCTGGTTGGCACCTATAACCAAGGTGAGTTCGATGCCCTGATGTCACTGATATGGTTTGCACCTATAACCAAGGTGAGTTCGATGTCCTGATGTCACTGATCTGAACGGTACCTATAACCAAGGTGAGTTCGATGTCCTGATGTCAACGATCTGGTTGGCACCAATAACCAAGGTGAGTTCGATGTCCTGATGTCACTGATCTGAACCATACCTATAACCAAGGTGAGTTCGATGTCCTGATGTCACTGATCTGTTTGGTACCTATAACCATGTGAGTTCGATGCCCTGATAACGCTGATCTTGTCAGTACCTATAACCAAGGTGAGATCAATGTCCTGTTGACGCTGATCTGGTCAGTACCTATAACCAAGGTGAGTTCGATGTCCTGATGACGCTGATCTGGTCAGCACCTATAACCAAGGCTAGTTCGATGCCCTGATGACGCTGATATGTTCAGTACCTATAACCAAGGTGAGTTCGATGTCCTGATGACGCTGATCTGGTCGGTACCTATAACCAAGGTGAGTTCGATGTCCTGATGACGCTGATCTGGTCAGTACCTATAACCAAGGTGAGTTCGATGTCCTGATGACGCTGATCTGGTCGGTACCTATAACCAAGGTGAGTTCGATGTCCTGATGACGCTGATCTGGTCAGTACCTATAACCAAGGTGAGTTCGATGTCCTGATGACGCTGATCTGGTCAGCACCTATAACCAAGGCTAGTTCGATGCCCTGATGACGCTGATATGTTCAGTACCTATAACCAAGGTGAGTTTGATGTCCTGATGACGCTGATCTGGTAAGTACCTATAACCAAGTTGAGTTCGATGTCCTGATGACGCTGATCTGGTCGGTACCTATAACTAATTTGAGTTCGATGTCCTGATGACGCTGATCTGGTCAGTACCTATAGCCAAGGTGAGTTCGATGTCCTGATGATGCTGATCTGGTAAGTACCTATAACCAAGGTGAGTTCGATGTCCTGATGACGCTGATCTTGTCAGTACCTATAACCAAGGTGAGTTCGATGTCCTGATGACGCTGATCTGGTCGGTACCTATAACTAATTTGAGTTCGATGTCCTGATGGCGCTGATCTGGTCAGTACCTATAACCAAGGTGAGTTCGATGTCCTGATGATGCTGATCTGGTCAGTACCTATAAACAAGGTGAGTTCGATGTCCTGATGTTGCTGATCTGGTCAGTACCTATAACCAAGGTGAGTTCGATGTACTGATGATGCTGATCTGGTCAGTACCTATAAACAAGGTGAGTTCGATGTCCTGATGTTGCTGATCTGGTCAGTACCTATAACCAAGTTGAGTTCGATTTCCTGATGTTGCTGATCTGGTCAGTACCTATAAACAAGGTGAGTTCGATGTCCTGATGACGCTGATCTGGTCGGTACCTATAACCAAGGTGAGTTCGATGTCCTGATGATGCTGATCTGGTCAGTACCTATAAACAAGGTGAGTTCGATCTCCTGATGAGGCTGATCTGTTCGGTACCTATAACCAAGGTGAGTTCGATGTCCTGATGTCACTGATCTGGTTGGCACCTATAACCAAGGTGAGTTCGATGTCCTGATGATGCTGATCTGTTTGGTACCTATAACCATGGTGAGTTCGATGTCCTGATGACGCTGATCTGGTCGGTACCTGTAACCAAGGTGAGTTCGATGTCTTGACGATGCTGATCTGTTCGGTACCTATAACCAAGGTGAGTTCGATGTCCTGATGACGCTGATCTGGTCGGTACCTATAACCAAGGTGAGTTCGATGTCCTGATGACGCTGATCTGGTCAGTACCTATAACCAAGGTGAGTTCGATGTCCTGATGACGCTGATCTGGTCAGTACCTATAACCAAGTTGAGTTCGATGTCCTGATGACGCTGATCTGGTCAGCACCTATAACCAAGGCTAGTTCGATGTCCTGATGACGCTGATCTGGTCGGTACCTGTAACCAAGGTGAGTTCGATGTCCTGATGATGCTGATCTGTTCGGTACCTATAACCAAGGTGAGTTCGATGTCCTGATGATGCTGATCTGTTCGGTACATATAACCAAGGTGAGTTCGATGTCCTGATGATGCTGATCTGTTCGGTACCTATAACCAAGGTGAGTTCGATGTCCTGATGACGCTGATCTAGTCGGTACCTATAACCAAGGTGAGTTCGATGTCCTGATGACGCTGATCTGGTCGGTACCTATAACCAAGGTGAGTTCGATGTCCTGATGACGCTGATCTTGTCGGTACCTATAACCAAGGTGAGTTCGATGTCCTGATGACGCTGATCTGGTCGGTACCTATATCCAAGGTGAGTTCGATGTCCTGATGATGCTGATCTGTTCGGTACCTATAACCAAGGTGAGTTCGATGTCCTGATGACGCTGATCTGGTCGGTACCTATAACCAAGGTGAGTTCGATTTCCTGATGTCACTGATCTGGTTGGCACCTATAACCAAGGTGAGTTCGATGTCCTGATGATGCTGATCTGTTCGGTACCTATAACCAAGGTGAGTTCGATGTCCTGATGATGCTGATCTGTTCGGTACCTATAACCAATGTGAGTTCGATGTCCTGATGATGCTGATCTGTTCGGTACCTATAACCAAGGTGAGTTCGATGTCCTGATGATGCTGATCTGTTCGGTACCTATAACCAAGGTGAGTTCGATGTCCTGATGACGCTGATCTGGTCGGTACCTGTAACCAAGGTGAGTTCGATGTCCTGATGACGCTGATCTGTTCGGTACCTATAACCAAGGTGAGTTCGATGTCCTGATGTCACTGATCTGGGCGGCACCTATAACCAAGGTGAGTTCGATGTCCTGATGTCATTGATCTGGTTGGCACCTATAACCATGGTGAGTTTGATGTCCTTATGTCACTGATCTTGTTGGCACCTATAACCAAGGTGAGTTCGATGTCCTGATGATGCTGATCTGTTCGGTACCTATAACCAAGGTGAGTTCGATGTCCTGATGATGCTGATCTATTCGGTACCTATAACCAAGGTGAGTTCGATGTCCTGATGACGCTGATCTGTTCGGTACCTATAACCAAGGTGAGTTCGATGTGCTGATGATGCTGATCTGTTCGGTACCTATAACCAAGGTGAGTTCGATGTCCTGATGTCACTGATCTGGTTGGCACCTATAACCAAGGTGAGTTCGATGTCCTGATGTCACTGATCTGGTTGGCACCTATAACCAAGGTGAGTTCGATGTCCTGATGACGCTGATCTGTTCGGTACCTATAACCAAGGTGAGTTCGATGTCCTGATGATGCTGATCTGTTCGGTACCTGTAACCATGGTGAGTTCGATGTCCTGATGTCACTGATCTGGTTGGCACCTATAACCAAGGTGAGTTCGATGTCCTGATGTCACTGATCTGGTTGGCACCTATAACCAAGGTGAGTTCGATGTCCTGATGATGCTGATCTGTTCGGTACCTATAACCAAGGTGAGTTCGAAGGCCTGATGTTGCTTATCTGTCCATACCTGTAACTTAGGTCAGTTCGTTAGCTGATGGCGCTATTCTTGTTTACACCCATTGTCAAGGTCAATTTACTGCGGGGTGTCACTTGGGTTCAGATGGCAACACACAGTGAGAAAGTTGTAATGCCAGAAGATATAATGGCTGTCGTAATCTTAAAACGTGCATCGCAATTCATTTCATTATTTTATACATGAATTTTTTTTACAGTAAACATATTGTATAATAACATATTAAATTACCAAGTTTAAAAAGTGCCAAATGAAATTTGTCATGGACGTCAAAGAGAATAACAACTTAATTATCTGGAAAGAAACTTACCCCAAAGGTTTTCCGTTTTTAAATATATATTTTTTTCTTTAACGTCAATGAATTGACTTTTGTGCCATCTATAGCAACGATTGTCTAGAAAAGCTCCCCTCCACATACCATTATTTGTGATTCTTTCCAACAAATTTCCCTGGCAACGAATGTTACGATGATTGAACTTATTTGTGATTCTGTTCAATAGATTGCCCTGGGCACCGTGTATATCGGTGACTGTCCGGCAAGACCTGAGATCCCCTTTTTTCTCATCGTGTCCGGAGCAGTGTCCACTGCAAGGGATTTCTTCGCTATCTTGATGAGGTGTGTCTTCACCGAGGAGCAGTACTTCCGACACGAACTCAAGCTAGGATGTTTCGTGATATTTATTGAAATGATTGATGTAGGACTCCTGGCCTATGGTAAGATTTGAAGTGTCGTGATATTTATTGAAATGATTGATGTAGGACTCCTGGCCTATGGTAAGATTTGACGTGTCGTGATATTTATTGAAATGATTGATGTAGGACTCCTGGCCTATTAAAAGATTTCACGTGTCGTGATATTTATTGAAATGATTGATGTAGGACTCCTGGCCTACGTAAGATTTGAAGTGTCGTGATATTTATTGAAATGATTGATGTAGGACTCCTGGCTTATTAAAAGATTTCACGTGTCGTGATATTTATTGAAATGATTGATGTAGGACTCCTGGCCTATGGTAAGATTTGACGTGTCGTGATATTTATTGAAATGATTGATGTAGGACTCCTTGGCTATGGTAAGATTTGACGTGTCGTGATATTTATTGAAATGTTTGATGTAGGACTCCTGGCCTATGGTAAGATTTGAAGTGTCGTGATATTTATTGAAATAATTGATGTAGGACGTTTTTTCTTAACATAAGCGTTGATATGAATTTTGTAAAGCAATTTTGATCTCTTAGTGATAATGAAGTTTTGTTTGTGAAAGTATGAAAAGTATGGACGAAAAAAAGTCTTTTTGATAGATAAAATTAATTTTATTTATGTTTTTCTTCCTTCCATCACAAAGTTGTGAAGCTAGATTGCCAAGGCGAAATTTTCTATGGAAAGTATCATTTACCAAGCAGCAGAGCTTTCCTTTTTCACACAATCGTTAAACACAAGTTAAAATCATATGGAAGATGTAACACTATAATGTAGAAATACATGTTTTTAAACTACACGAGTACCTATTTACCATACAACTCAACTCACTTACCAAATCTCACAAAATATCACACCTTATTTACCACATCTCACAAACTATTCGAAACCCTACATACAACATCTCACAAACTAGCACACCCTACTTACCACATCTCACAAAATATCACACCCCACTAACCACGTCTCACAAACAATCACACCCCACTTACCACATCTCACAAAATATCACACCCCACTAACCACGTCTCACAAACAATCACACCCCACTTACCACATCTCACAAAATATCACACCCCACTAACCACATCTCACAAACAATCAAACCCCACTTACCACATCTCACAAACTATCACATCCCACTAACCACATCTCACAAACTAACACACCCTAATTTCCACATCTCACAAACTATCACATCCCACTAACCACATCTCACAAACTATCACATCGCACTAACCACATCTCACAAACTATCACATCCCACTAACCACATCTCACAAACTATCACATGCAACTTACCAAATCTCACAAACTATCATACCCCACTTGCCACATCTCACAAACTATCATACTTCACTTACTACATCTCACAAACTATCATACACAACTTACCACATCTCACAAACTATCATACACCACTTACCACATCTCACAAACTATCATACTCCACTTACCAAATATCACAAACTATCATACCCAACTTGCCACATCTCACAAACTATCATACACCACTTACCAATCTCAAAAACTATCACATGCCACTTACCAAATCTCACAAACTATCATACCCCACTTGCCACATCTCACAAACTATAATACACCACTTAGCACAGCTCACAAACTATCATACTCCACTTACCACATCTCACAAACTATCACACGCCACTTACCACATCTCACAAACTATCATACTCCACTTACCACATCTCACAAACTATCATACACCACTGGCTCTAAATCCCACCCATTTAATTCGATCTTACATCTCATGCAAATCACTTAACGCGCTTTAGCATACTCCTACTTTATGGAATATATCCCACACATATTTTTAAACATTTTTCCTATAACCGCTGGACACACAACACATGTTTTGGCCAAAGTTACAATTGGTGTATACATACAGTGTTCATAGGGGACCCTGTCAAGGGTATGAGAATCACAGTTCCTATGGAAAAGATATTTAGTGTAGGGAGTATACACATAGCTGTGTCTATTGTGTTGAGATTTTTGGGACGTATTTGCGTGAGAGGAAATGACGTGTTAGTTTTGTGGTTGTTATTGTGGGACGATGGCCGCGCAGTAGAGCTGGATGATAGTCACGGTCTAACCTCTTGTGTGTTGCTGAGTGTTTTAACCCTAGCTGTCTCCATACAGTAAATAAACAGATAGCGTGAACCGGTTTTAGCATAGTTATATTAAAATTGGTTGTGATACTGTGAGAGACAATACCTAAACAAATAGTCATCTGATATTAAGATGAGACGACGATTCAACGTTGAGGTCTACATCTCGACAGGCTTCAACTGTCATCCCTGCCACCCAAGAGTTCATGAAGCACCCCAACTGTCATCCCTGCCACCCAACAGTTCATGAAGCACCCCAACTGTCATCCCTGCCACCCAAGAGTTCATAAAGCACCCCAACTGTCCCTGCCGCCCAAGAGTTCATAAAGCACCCCAACTGTCATCCCTGCCACCCAAGAGTTCATGAAGCACCCCAACTGTCATCCCTGCCACCCAAGAGTTCATGAAGCACCCCAACTGTCATCCCTGCCACCCAAGAGTTCATGAAGCACCCCAACTGTCATCCCTGCCACCCAAGAGTTCATAAAGCACCCCAACTGTCCCTGCCGCCCAAGAGTTCATAAAGCACCCCAACTGTCCCTGCCGCCCAAGAGTTCATGAAGCACCCCAACTGTCCCTGCCGCCCAAGAGTTCATGAAGCACCCCAACTGTCCCTGCCGCCCAAGAGTTCATAAAGCACCCCAACTGTCCCTGCCGCACACTCATAAAATGTTTAATGTTGTTCACATTTGCACTAATTTTTTATTTAATATTTCCCCAAGGTTCGTACATCATCTTCGGCCTGACGAACTGGAACTTCGAAGAGAACAGTCCCCGCTACTGCAGGCCTGCCCTCTACTGGTTCGCCTTCTGGGTCACTGCGGGCGCCCTGGTCACCTTGGCCACGCTGATAAGCCTCTGCTGCTGCGTGGCCTGCACGTTGCCGCTCAGGGACGAGCCCCCGGTCACGGAGGTGGACATCGTGACGATCCCCCAAAACACTGACCTGAGCCCATCCTTGGTGAAGATCTTGCCAGCGCCCATGGATCATCTGGAGAGGCAGAGTAGCATGTCGATTCTCTCAGTGCGTACTTCATAGACAAGTAGCATATCAATAAAGATTAAAAATTTGATGAACTACAGTTCGTTTTCATGGGTTGGATTTGATTTCAAACCTTTTTGTTTCTGTGGTCATCCACAACTAAACGGAGGGGGAAGGGGGGTTGAATACAGGGAGTGGGGTGAAGAATTGTTGATGATGCTTCACCAGGGTGTATGACAGTTGTAAAAGATTCTCCAACGATGCAGTAAGAGGGTGGGGAGTTCAAAAATAGTAACGCCATTCAAGGAAGGCCTCAGTGATGTTTATTTGGTGTACGATTAAAAATAAAATTAATAACTAAGAGCCCTTCAGGCGTGGGGCGTTGGAGCTGGAGCTTAAGCCATCTTCTCATTGGAGCTGGAGCTTAAGCCATCTTCTCAGCTTAATCAAATGTACCTGCTGCTAAAATGTATCGTTATATACCGGGCCCAAACGTAAAATTAAAAAAAATACGTCACATGTGAGTAGTGTAGCGCCAAGCAATAGGGATTCTGTGCTATGGGGCACGCCCCGTCTCTTATATGTTTCAGACCACTTTCTGAACTCCTTTCATACCATCTAAGATTTAAACGACCTGACTTCCCCAAATTTGTTTTTTTTTTTAACTTTAAAAAAAAAAAATCCTCTGAATCCGTTTTTTTCAAAAGTAGTGTCTCTCACTTTTGACCAACTGCCTGCACTTTAATTGAATGAAACCTTGTACACTTATCCACAACCCGATGACATTACAACCCATTATGATCAGTAAGTCACCGATGACCTCTAATGATCCATGAGAAAACTCTGCTGGTCAAATCTTGCATCTCAGATGTGACGCTTTTCCTTATCTTCCAATGAGGGGAAACTTGTTACACTTACCTCCCTTCTGACAAAACAAAATTCCAAGATCAGTAGGTCACCAAGAACCTCCAATGACCAATGAGTGACCTATGCGGATATATCTCACGAACGGAACGTGATAGCCTTTCAGGTTTTAACTAAGGCCTTCCTTATGCCTGCCTTATGCCTGCCTTATGCCTGCCTTGTGCCTGCCTTATGCCTGCCTTATGCCTTCCTTATGCCTTCCTTATGCCTCCCTTATGCCTTCTTTATGCCTGCCTTATGCCTTCCTTATGCCTTCCTTATGCCTTCCTTATGCCTGCCTTATGCCTGCCTTATGCCTTCCTTATGCCTTCCTTATGCCTTCCTTATGCCTTCCTTATGCCTTCCTTATGCCTTCCTTATGCCTTCCTTATGCCTTCCTTATGCCTTCCTTATGGCTTGGTTAATCGCTTCCTAACACAATCAAACAATGACAAACAATATGTTCATAACTTCAGGGTCGGTACATTCCTGTGACTAAAAAACGTGGGCTAGGAATGAAATACAATGATATCGCAATACTTGACAAATAGAATGTTGGACAGACATCAAATAGAATGTTGGACAGACGTATCAAATAGAATGTTGAACAGACGTATCAAATAGAAGTTTGGACAGACGTATAAAATAGAATGTTGGACAGACGTATCAAATAGAATGTTGGACAGACGTATCAAATAGAATGTTGGACAGACTTATCAAATAGAATGTTGGGCAGACGTATCAAATAGAATGTTGGACAGACGTATCAAATAGAATGTTGGACAGACGTATCAAATAGAATGTTGGACAGACGTATCAAATAGAATGTTGGACAGACGTATCAAATAGAATGTTGGACAGACGTATCAAATAGAATGTTGGGCAGACGTATCAAATAGAATGTTGGACAGACATTGCTTCAAGTAAGTGTTTTTTGACACACTTGTCTAATTAGGGAAATGTCAGTTCCCAAGACCACTCTTAGCAGTTTCAAGACCTTCCAAATATTTGCCTTAACAATTCTCTCTATTGACATGTCAGTGACAGCGTTCGTGCTACATGATGACATTTAATGTTTTGCTGTCAATCCGTGAGTTTGAGAACTAATTTGTGTTAAATATCTTCATCAAAACTAGCTTGGGGGGAGGGGGGTGGGATTGTTTTCGTGGATCTCATGTCCGAATGACCAACGCCTACACTTTCCGTTCCCGTGCTCCGTTATGGCGGGATAGACTCAATACAATATGGGCTGACCTTTGGCATCCAACCTTTATTGAGCAGTTATTGTCACCTGTCCAATGTGGTAGACAAAACCGACCCCACCCCACCCCAAACCTTCCATGTACAGGCAACTGTCCGTGGCCACTGTAATGATGTGGGAAGGAGATCTTGTTTTGGTCGTTCATGTATTTGCTTTACATGGTAAGAGTCAACAGTAAGAGTCAGCCTGAAGATTGTAACAGATTCTTTAAGACTTGGCAGACTTGCCGAATCGTTCCGTTGCACGAATTCAGACTTTTTAAACTTGTGAGTTATTGTGTAAGAGTGATTGCAGATATGTTGTTTGTCCCAAAATTCTTTAAATGTCTTCGCACCATGCTGTGCTACATCGGAAATTCCCATATTTGCGTTTTTTTGCTGTTTTTTTTAAATGGTGCTGTATAAAAAATACATTTATAAACTTAATATAAAAATTAAAATTAAAAGTAAAAAGTGACTGATCAAGAATATTGTTTGAAACTGAAACACTATCAATTTGAGAAATTATTCACAGGAAAGTATTGACTGAAAATCGCACGCGATCTTCTCTTGCCCAAATCTTGTTTTATTAATCGTTAAGCTTGGGGCAAATTTGGGACGAATATGCAAAAGTCCGAGGTCGCCTCCGGGCAAACACTAACAGACAACGTAATATAGCAGAGCACTTCCGATGTCCCTTATATGTTGTTGGTTTTCCAAGTATGTAACTACAACAATGATGGAGACTGAACACATCAGCAGACACTGTCCCACGTAACTCCGACATGCTTGACAAAATTATGAACACACAAGACATTGTAACACACAGGTGAAGCTAGTTTTTTTTTTTTTTTTAATTCTAAAATGACATGTAAGAGATGCAACAATTTCAATTTTTATTTTAACTAACAAAAATATTATTTGAGCAATTATAACCGCGCCAAGACAACACACTAAGTACTGACATTTCCATTTTGTCGTGCGACATCCAAATCTGCGGGACATGATGTTCCGGTGGAGTCATGGCGGCCGTCACGTCACGCGACACGAACACAACGACGGAAACGGGTACTACGACGTCAGCATACAGACCGCTCGCTCTCGGCTCCTCAACCCAACCCGATCTTACGTCCTTAGCGAGTGCGCCAAGGCACCAGCGCAGCCGGATTACGCCCGTCACGAGAAGACCCGGAGGGAATCGAACGTCGTCAGAAAGCAGCTGTTTCCCGACGCCCGACGGGAATCGTCACTGAACGCGAAGCTGGACCTCAGCAACAACGCGTCCGTCCACGACGAGACGGTGGCGCTGAGGGCTCGGGCGGGCACGCGCCTGATGGACCCATCCGAGCCGCTCCGCCGCGTGTCCATCGTGCTGATGCTCAACTACGCCCGGCGACACTCCTCGGGCCCCATCAGTTTCACCAGGCAGGTCACCACCATCGTCTTGACGGACAACTGCTTCGTCTGCTGCGTGGCTTTCGGGATCTTCCTGCCGCTGGCCAAGGTGAGTGGAGCACGAAGTTCAAGGTGAGTGGAGCACGAAGTTCAAGGTGAGTGGAGCACGAAGTTCAAGGTGAGTGGAGCACGAAGTTCAAGGTGAGTGGAGCACGAAGTTCAAGGTGAGTGGGGCACGAAGTTCAAGGTGAGTGGAGCACGAAGTTGCCAGCGTGTTTTGCTGATGCTTTCACTGGGGTCAGTACAAGCTTAAAGTGTCTAGCCTTATGATCAAATGGATTTTAACCATTCAGTGTGTCTTTACAATGTTATATATATATATATATATATATATATATATATATATATATTTATATAGTATATATATATATAGTGTGTGTCAAATGAAAAATATGTTTTTTATTTATAATTTTATATATATATATATATATATATATATATATATATATATATATATTTATATAGTATATATATATATAGTAGGTGTCAAATGAAAAATATGATTTTTTTTTTGTAAATGGCTATCTTTAATTATAATAAATTTGCATAAGGAAATAATATTCCACATGCTTCATGAGCCTGTCTTGGCGAAAACAGACTAAAGTTATTAAATCCATTATAATTTAACGCAATGTAGGTTTTGTAACAGAACTGAACATGTTTATTTTTTTTTTTCGTTGGTGGGAGGGGGGGTGTCTTAAAGGTACCTGAAATTAAATTAAATATCAAAAGACTTAATTTTAATACAGTATCAACACTCTCCTCCCTTTTTTAAAAAAAAGCTTCCCTTTCATCCCATTACCTTGTGGTGTGCTATTAAAAATAGATTCAGCAATTTCAACTTTTTCCCAATTTTCTTTTATCCAAAAACAATATTCAGATTATTGAATTGTTATTATAAGAATTACCGCTACTACTCTGGCAATAAAAATTGCGAGCACGTAAGTGTTTTAACAAGTTTCCATTTCTTTTCGTATTTTGAAGTGTCTTTTCTTCTAAAGAAGGCACTGGGCCGCAACTTTCTCCTTTCGTTGTCCAGTCTCTCTCTTTGAGCGTCTAAATGCTTTGTTCTACGTTTTCCTTCAAACAGCTTGAACGCAGTCCTTCATTTTCTTTTCTTTTCTCGTGTTGTCTTTCACAGCTGGTCACCGGGGCCCTGTTCATGAACCAGTGTCCGGCCGAGCCATTCATCCCCATGTACCTGGTGCTGGGCGGCGCAGTGGGCACCGTGCGTGACGTCTGGATCCTGGCCATGAAGTACTCGTACACTGAAGTGCAGTACGAGGCGGGGGAGAAGTGGATCTGCGGCTTCATCTACTCCCTGATTGTCGTCGAGTTCGCCCTCTTCTTTGCCGGTAATGCAACTGTGGTTAAGTCATTAGTGTAGAAACTCTCAACAAAAAAAAAAAGGGGGGAGGGGGGGGGGGCACCGAGTTTCATAGCTCTAAATTTGGCCATGGTTTAAGAG